AATTTTGTAATTATGCACTTTTCGGGACACGCAAGGATGTAAGTTGGACAGGCTTGAGCTAGCTAGACGAATTTCTCAGAGGCAATTTAGCTTTTGGCAGATATAGGTAAGAATAATTAAGATAAGGCCCCTTATAGATTAAGCTTGCTGAGGTGCCGAGGGCAATCCTTATTCTCTAAATCGCTTTGCTCCTATAAGATCCAGCATATAATATAAGTGAAGGCGTAATGTTAGACCATTCTAATTTTTTAACCATTTAATTTTAGCCTATCATACGAAAAAGGCGTGCATCGGAACCATTGGATGGAATATGCCTTACCAAAGCCCGCACATTTATTTGAGATTCTAGCTAGTGAATTATTTCTACTCACTTTCTGAATCTGAATGAATAATATACATTTGGATCGTCTGATCTGCACATTTTTTTATATTCTCATCAGCAGCTTTTGACATGTCTTTCTACTATATATCAGATGAAGCTATCGGATTTCAGATTATATGCTAAGAGAAAATAAAGTACACGCCTTTTTTTCAAAATTATGCATGTTCTCTTTTCGTCTATAGATTTACGCACTGACATGTCACGCCCGTTCGGCATTGAGGTACCTTGGGATTCCGACATGTTTTGCCTAGAATATCCTAGCTCTTAGCTTAGCCCATGATTCTTCCGTACTGTCTTCTGGTCTAGTAATCATCAATAAAGAAAGAAAATTAAGAGTTCATAAACTATGAAGTTGTTAATTGTCTTGATTTGACACTATGGCTCAATAATGTACAATATGTTCTGTGCACCATCTCGAATATAAAATATCTAAATACAAAGACCAATGCCGTTACATGCAAAAAATAGCATTTACAGCGGAACTCATTTGCATTGTGCGCCATTAAAGTATTTAAAAGCTGACTGGAAAGAGAGAAATTTCTTGTTAATGTAATTTCATAAAGTTATTGTATACGTATCAATGAACTCAGATAATCTCAATAGTAATAGAAGTCCTCGCGGCCGGTGAAATTGACTGCAAAGTCGGCTCCATCTGCTGTCGGCTCTGCAAATGCAACTCGGCTTCGAGATAGCGAATGTCCGTATGCAAAGTTTTGAAGTACACAGTCGAGAAGGGCGGTGGCGATGCCTCGCCGGCGGTGCTCTCGGGCTACCCATATCCGTCGGACCCCGCACAGCGGTAGCTCCATCGCTGGAATCGTTGCATCGGCGTCTGTTGCAATTGTCTCTTGCTGCAGCTCCCCAAGCTTCTCAAAGGGATACTTTTTGTCAGAAGATTCTGAATATGTACATAAGGCAAATAAATTCGAAGATTTTTGTTGAGAGAGTTACTGTAAGCACTGCATCTTGCTGAAAAAAAGGATAGGGAAGTTTTTCCTACTGTCACATTAGAAGGGGTAAGTGTAAAGGGATACTAGAATACTATGACAGATAAATGATAAGTCGAGCCCTACATCTTAGTCAATGGTTAGAGGGCGAAATGACTTGAGCTACTTAATCGACAGATTACAAAAGTAGCGAAAGATAATTTAGATTGCTGAATAAAATTGATATGAAACTAGCAAATGTCTATTGAGATACCGTTCGTCTCATTTGAAG